ACATCGACACTGTGCCAGTCCCTCACGCAGTGGCGTTGTTTGAACCGTTGTTTCTGATCTAACAGATATTTACTGAAATGTGCGCTGAACCATACGCAATTCATGTGCGCGTTTGTTTAGAACTTTGGGAAAAAGTACATTTCATTCTATTCACTTACCAGCCAGGATCAAATTCGATCAACAAATTGTAGACGCGACATGAGTTTGTTCCGAACGATCGGGCTTTGCGCATTACACAATTACTGCCAGTTTATTTAGTCCTTGGTTATTTAACGAACCTTATTCAACTAAATAAGATTTATATCATTTATGGTTATTTAACAAAACAATTGGAAAATTCACATTACATAACGAGGATGCCATGGAATGGAATGTAGGAAACAAAAATGCTTATAGAGTTTTTATGAGAAAGGAACTTACTAGAAATCTGTGAGTTATTTCGTGTTCTTGATAAACTTCAAAGGACATCCAGAGCAAGATAATGTAGCTGTAATGCTCTAAACTCGTACCTGGGAAGATGATGGTACTGCCATAGAGTACGCATGTTTGTATTAATATGTACTGCTTGGATTGTTTGTTAGTTTAATATAAAATTGGATTTGACTTTAGTCTGTTGAAAATCATTTTATGTTGGCCTTTCGCACGTGGCAGATAGCCACTGCTTACAGCTCTCGGAAACAAGAACGCTTGTAACATATAAATCAGGTGTTGTTATTTCGAGAGTAAACACATCCGTAGCGTAGAAACACGAATTTAGCCAGAAATCTGCTATCATCATGTAACATTAAAAGAAAACGCTCGCTTCGTACAAAAAAGGCTAACATAGCAGAACAAGCCAACAAAGCGGAAATGAGTTCACCTTACACGCATTCGCAGAATCAGAGACGTTACTTTATTTCCTGATCTGGTCACATGACTCTTTCACCGTCTTTAGCTGGAGGGCTGGCGATCACCGGGATGTAAATCGAATACTGCGACAGGGTTGATCCGGTGGGTATTTAACGACTCAGTATCGAATGCAGAGATTGTATAACGTCAGAATAGATCAGATGATGACCAATGAGATAATCGGAAATAATGTGTCCTCAAACACTTGAGGTCAACCAGTCTGCTTAGTATTCTTAAGGTTACGGGTAGGAATCTCGGCCTGGATATCGGTTATCCTGACTGAGGAATTCCGTCGTTTTCCTCAATTCTTCAAAGCGAATGCCGGGATAGTACGACCGATTCCATCAAAACGCAGTTGAAAGACGTCGTTAAATAAGACAGCCAGTTTATTTTAAGGCACAATAACTCCTAGTATCCAGAAAGAAAAGCGTTCTTTGACAGCGAAAGTGAATGTACCATTAATTTAACATAGTCTAAATAATTAGTCATGGCGGTGTGTAGCAATAAATACTACCACGAAACGGAAGTTAAATACACGGTACACTAACATGTGTGTATTTAGGCCCAATAAAATTCAACGATAAATTATTTATTTCGTATATTCATCCCACTGTCCCCTTTTACTTATTCCTTTCGTACATTTAACATCATCCCTCCATTCTCTAGATTTCTCATCTCTGTTACGTCAACGTCTACAGTGGAAGAAAAAGGCGATGCGGTTGACAGATAAATACTGGCAACAAATAATGCGTGTGGACACATATTCAAACCCTGTCAGACAATGTCATGAATGGCAAAAAGGTAATATGAGATTAGAAAGCTGGTTGAAGGAAAGAGAGAGAGATGATTCCGAATAGAAAGTATACATTTGGCATAGTC